AGGGGGCGCTTCTGCCCCCCCCCCCCCCAGTTCCTGGCCTGAGCAACTGTAGGCATGTGCCTGCATGTCTGTTCTGTTACAAACTAGTTCAACCTAGGCAGGTTAGACTAACCTGCAAAGGTTGAATTAATTCAGGCTCCAGCTTTTTGAATGTCTGTCCCTAGCCCAGAGGGTCACTGTAAGCAGGTGATGGACTATATGACATTGGTAGCAGTGGCATAACTAGTGTCAGGGTGATTGCAGCAACTGCCCCACAATGGGGTGTGGGAGGATCAAAAACACCAGCTACTGCCAGCAGTCACAAGTTGACAATTGTAAACCGGAAATCACTGCTTCCGCTTTGCCCCGGATGCCAGGACCAGGTGAATGAAATCTGGATGTTATAATCCATGTTATTTTGTCTAGTGATGATGTGGTCTATATTGAATAGGGGGCACAGCTGGCATCTGAGGCCAAAGCGATGTCTAGTGCCTTGGGTTAGGAGCTAGATACTCTGTTTCTAGAGAGATGCTGTTTGAGGCAGGGAAAAGGGGTGGATGGGTCTGTTTCTCAGGAATCACGCAAATTTAGACCTTTTTTCAGGAAGAAGTCCTCTTCAATAGAGAATTTAGGCCCCTGCTCAACTTTAAGCATGGCTGATGTCCTAGGTCAGTGGGATTTAACCAAATGGTAATGTGCTTATATGGACTTCTGATAACAATGGATTAGTATAATTAGCATCTGCCTACACTTGGAAAAACCGTTGTGCTGTGTGGTTGGCACTTCACCTAAAATACCCCAGGAACTTGAACAGAAGTAATTAGAGAACAATTAACATTCTAGTGCAAAGGGATTCTAACTAGCAACTAGATTCAAGAAGGTTCTCAGTAGGCAGCACTTCTCCCTCTTCCAAGACCAATGATGAAACAAGTCATTTGTCAGAAGTGCTTCTAAGAGACTTACATAGTGCCTTTTCTCCTGAAGGATCCTTAAAATCTAGGGTATTAGAAATGTATTCCAACTTCTCTAGCTTGGGAATGAATGTGGAGTTGTAACATTGGAGATTCTTTTCTCTCTTTTTCTTCCTTATGCAGCTGCACGAGGGGTAAGCAGGATCCTGATATTTGCAAATATAACAAAGGGATTTACAAGACAGTTATCGCAACTGAATTGCTAAATGGCTGTTGAGTCACTGTACATTTAGTCTCCTAAGAGAAGTTATCCATACCTCCTGAGCAGGGTAGATGTTATACCAGCAAAGGGCAGATATTTTGGCTAGAGGGCCACTTACCAAGTTTTGGTGAGCTGTTGAGGGCTGCACACATGAAATGTTTCAGAAGATGCCATTTTAACAAACTATAGATAAAGAGCAAATCAGATACTAAAAATCAAAAATTTACTATAACATTTTAATTTTATTTCAAAAAATATTTTTGTCCTGATTTATGTTATTTTGAGTATTGTATATAGAGGCGATTACATAATAACTCAAAATAAAGTCTTACTCTAGTATATTGGGAGAGGTATATGTGAGGGGTGGGTGTGTGGGGGGAAGGTGCATGGTTGTGTGTGGGGGGTGTCTGCTGTGTGTGTAGGACAGGGGTGGGCAAAATGCGGCCCGCGGGCCAGATGCAGCCTGCCAGGCCATTCTATCCAGCCTGCAGGGCCCCTAAAAAATTTAGAAAATTAATATTTATCTGCCCCTGGCTGCCTGTCATGCGGTCCTCAATGGCTTGCCAAACTCAGTAAGTGGCCCTCCGCCCAAAATAATTGCCCACCCCTGGTGTAGGGTGTTTGTGAGGAGGGGGAGGCTGTTTGGAGATGCAGGGGTAGAGGGTGCACATTTGTGTGGGGGACAGTCCATGTTCCAGGTTTCAGGAGCCAACTGGGGTGGAGGGAGGAATTGAGGGGCGGGGGTCACATGCAGCAGAGCTTGCCCAGGTGTGGTGTAGGTGCAATCTGTCCCCCTTCCCCCTGCCAACCTGCAGCTGCCCCCACAGCACTCCATATGAGGCCACGTCCTACCCGCTACCACCCTGGGTAGTCCAGGCTGCTAGCTGCCTTCCACCCACTCCACCTGCCTAGCATGACGTGCAGCCACCTGTGGGAAGCCAAGTGGATGGAAAATGGCTGGGAGCTGGAGCCCCATGCAGTGGGGCAGGAGCCACCCCACTGTAGTTTCCCCCTCTCTGTTTGGGCCTGTGGTGCCTGGCATGCATCCCCAAGGCCCCTGCCCTTTCCCACTTACCTGCTGCCTGGAGCAGCACAGCAGGGGGAAGAGGAGCCACTGGAGGCGGGGGGAGCTGAGCAGTACCCAAGCAGCTCTGGGTGCAGTCCTACGAGGAAGCTTTGCATACTGACTGGGGCCCTCGGTAGGCGTGGGCAGGACTGCAGTGTGGGCTGCTCGGGGCAGGAGAAGGAAGGGCTCAGCCCCATATGGAGCACTGCAGGGGCTTCTGTGGCCTGGATACAATCAATTGGCAGATGCCCACCCACGGGTCAAGTCCAGTCAGTTGGCAGGCCAGATCCAGCCCATAGGAAAATGCTTCCCAAACTTTTCATCAGCATTACTCCATTTATAGCCCCATTTCCTCAGTGTGGCCCCTTATGTCCCCCACCCCCATGACTGCATCGGCTGATGTTGTGACCCTATTTGGGGTCATGACCCACAGTTTGGGAATCGCTGCCATAGGCTGTATTGTGCCCATCCGTATGTTATATTCTTGTGCTCTTGCAAGCATACTCTGTGCTCTTGCAAACATGCTGTCCACCTGTGTCTATTCTTTAAGGCAAGGGGGGGAGGGGTTGATCCAGGACATTAAGGCCCCTGGCATATGTTCATTTAATGGCACAATGGGATGTTTTCCTACCCCAACAATCACACCTTCTACCATGCCATGCATGCATGGTAGAACACATGATTTTGGGATCAGGGATCAAATCTGAAGTGTGCCACTACTACTTGCTAGTGCAGCGAGAACTTGGGATCATGATCACAATTGGCTGACTGTGGGTTCTAGCCCTAGGACCATACTGCAGCCAGTTCCAGCTAAGGTGTCTTCCCAAAGCAGGAATTGCCAATCAGCTGATTGTCAGTCTCAGCCATAAGACCACCAGAGCTGGATGAGCTGTCAACCAAGCCCCACCATGCAGTTAGCATCAGATTTCATGGCAGTTAACCCTGCCATATGGTCAACCCAAGGTGCAGTGGAAACCAGCCACCAAATTATTATACACATTTTGTGAAATATTTTGTAGCTGGTTTTGTGGGTTCTGGTCTGAACCTGTGGCCGGGTTACTTATTTAAGAGGCTATTAACAAGTTAAATCTTAAGCATAATGTTTGCCAGGAGCCTGGCAGAATAAGAACTATGGCCAAATCCAGATGGGTACAGTCGTGTGGTATGTGGTGCCACAGACACATCTGCAGTGCCGCATACTGCACATTCACCTGTTCTCCACCCTGCAAGAGAGCATTGCAGGTCAAAAAACCTGCGCAAAAAAAGTGGAGCAGTGCATGCAGGGGTAGCGCGTGCCACTCAAAACCAAAGTCTGGCTGCCTAGAGCCCACTCTGGCTGCCAGCCAGGCTCCAAGCAGCAGAATCACCACTGCTGCAGCCCCAGGAAGCCCCCTGGATCCCAGGTAAGGCTGCTGGGGCCAACCGAGTGCTGGCCTCAGCCTCCCCTACCCAACCTGGGGTAATCTACTGCATGCCAGAGGGCGTGTGGCACAGGCGTTCCTTGAGGACAACTAGCAGCGACACAAGGCATCCCACTGCTAGTTGGTCCTAAGGGACCAAACGTCTGTGTTCATTTGGATGTGGCCTATGGATCTGGGGCTACAGTGAGCATGTTTTCCACCCTCCAAATGGGACATATCCAGCCCTACTCCTTTGCAGATTGATGTAATAATTCTTTTGAATTGGGTTCAGTTGCTGGATAGGGTGTCTTGCTGCAAATAAGTGATTACTGGTGAGTGTGTGTCTGTTTAGTTGCAGCCATGGCAGCAGGCACCTAGAAATGGAAGCAAAGGGAAATACAGGCCTAAAGAGAGAAATTAATATTCTATCTTTATTTTTATATTCTTCTGTTTTGTTTTCAGAAAAATAAAGGAAAGTTTGGAGTGCTTTCCTGTCAAACTCAATAACCTGATTCACACACTTGCACAAATGTCACTGACAGGCTCTGCCAAGCCTTCAGCTTCTGACATTGTTCCCCGAGATGCTGAGGTGCTGAATACAGAGAGTTCAATTGCAAGAGCCACCATTTTAGGGATCAGCAAAAAGTCTAACTCTGTATGTATTACAATCTCTGGTCACTATTTTTAACTTAATTTTAAACTACTCTTCTGTTAGTACAATTAGAGGATCATGGGATGAGCAGTAGTGCCATGAGCATTGAGATTCAGGAGAGAAATAATACCAGGCAGAGAGCTATTAGCAGGGAGCCATTAAGAAAAACTGTTCCTGCCTTATAGTGAAAAATAAATCAAGAGCTAATTAAAGTATCCAGAAGGGAAGCACAGCACAAATTAGGAAGCGTGCTAGAAATGGGAGCATTCTGTATGATACTTTAATGGAGCATTATTAGTTTTCATACAGTGTGGTCATATTTCCATGTTTGAGCTGCATGTTATCCAGACAAGTCTCTCTCTTTCTCTTTACATACATGGAGAGAAAGACTTGTCTGGATAATATGATAATGATCCATAAAAGTTGTATGTGTGTATGGAGAGAGAGACAGAATATATAATATATGAACAAAGAGACAGATAGATATGTCTGGATAAATGCCCCTCAAACCTTCTGTATTATAATTATATATATATAGTGTGTGTGTGTGTGTGTGTGTGTGTGTGTGTGTGTGTGTGTGTGTATACAGCTAAGTCTAAGTTATAAATCAAATTTTCTGGCACTATGGGCTGTATTACAGAAAGCCTTTTCTTTGTTAAAATTGTCCTGTATTTTCACATGTGTATTTTTTTGTGTGTTTATACCTCTCTAATCATTTCTGTTGTTCCTAACTGCAGCTGTATCTAGTCCAAGTTGTACAAACCTGCAACACTACAACCTTTGTGGAAAAGTCATTTGACCAACTTTCAAAACTTCATGGCCACCTACAGAAGCAGTTTCCGTGGCATTCTCTCCCAGAGTAAGGCAGCACATTAGCTCACATGATTCTGCTAGCACATACAAAAATAGGAAAAATATGTGGTAGATGTGTGTTTAAGAAGATTCTTGTCTTTCCAACAGCCTATTCTATATAATAGAATCTAGGGGAAATGAGGTCACGGGCTATAGTGACAGCTTAACTAAAATTTGGATTGTGTCACCAGCACTGACAAAACTAATAGTTATTCCTTCTACAAGCATGCTAACTCACACAACGGAAGCTGCCTTTCTCTACAATCTCAACCCTAAAGAAAGTAAATACTCCAGCAAAACCCCTGAGCAATTTATTTGAACCTGAGCACTTGAACACTCAGGCTAATTCAGGCTTGAAAGGATTTTGGTGTTTGAACTGAATTAAGAGAGTCAAAATGAAGGCTTTAACTTGGAATAGCCTTGAGCCACAAATTTCCCTTCCAAATTTAGTCTCCCTTAAAATACAAAAGATATTCACTTGCAGGGTGTTAGTTCAGTTCTTAATGAGTAGAGGGAGGGGAAACCAGTTTTTCCTGCACTTACATTTCAGGTTGTTTAATCTGGGGTTTTTATTAACCCATTCTGGTTTAAGGTGTGATATTCTGAGCACGATTTACATTTCGCCAAAGTTTTGAGAGTTTTTAGAATCAGGATTTTTGTTTGGATTTATTCATAGTTTTATTTATTACATTGCTTTAAAAATGATTAAAAGCAGCTGTTTTTGTCAATGCTCTTGGTGGGCACAAGACTTTCAAAATGTACAAATCTGTCAAATATCACAAGTACAGTTCTGCCAAAGTCTGTGTGAAAGTCTTAAACCATTACTAACTCAGGATAACTGAAGTAATTTTCCCTTTGTTTCCACACCTCATGTATGTAATAAGTTACTCTCATTTTGTACACCTGGAGAAGACCAAATTAAGAAGGAGCTTAGTTCAAAGGATATGGCATTGGACTGCGTGGCAGGAGACTAGAGGGTTCTGTTCTTTACTATGCTTTTGATATACTGACTGATCTTGGGCACGCCATTTCACTTTCCTTTTTTCTTTTCTGTGTTTCATCTTGTTGTTCACACTGTTAGCTCTCTAAGGAAAGGACAATCTGTCCTCATGCATTTGTACAGTGCCTAGCGTGCCTGACCTCTGATCACAGTTCCAGTCTCAGGGAACTACATCTGATAATAAGCAAATGATAAAAATACCCTACTTTATTGCTTTCACCTTGATTTCTCACCCATTTGGTCTAAGTACAGACAGTCAAAAAAGCCCAAGGCTGAATCAGTTCAATCTTTGCAGGTTAGTTTAATCTGGATAGATTGAACCGACAAGCAAATGAACACACATTCACTTTTGATTACAGAAATACAGCCATATGCCCAAAATGGCTCAGGCCTGAAACCAGGGGGTGCTAGAGCATGCTTCCCTACTCAGCTGGACCAGACAGCTTGGGCCAAGGCTAGTCCACCCACCCACCCTGTGAAGGGGAGGTTTGCAAGGGAGGTACAAAGCATCCTGGGATGCTGGGGGACTATGAGTTAAGTTGAATCTGAAAGGGATGTGGGACAGAAGTTCAATAAATTGATTTAACCTAAATCAGTTAAGTCTAATACTACTGTGGAGGGCCAGTAGGGGGTGCTCTTGCACTGAGCCACTCACCTCACTGTGTCCAACCACCTTCCAAGCTCCACAAGTAGTGGTCTCCCTTAGTCAACTGAACCAAGGGGACTCCAAGGCATAATCTAGACCCACTCCCAATAAGTCTCCCACGCTAGGCACTGTCACAACCCAAAGGGTGTGATTTTTGTTTGTGTGTGCTTCGGCACTGCTAAATTGTCCCCGCTAAATTATAGCTTCCTTGCACGGTGGAGTTTTCTGCTGCAAAAGAGAACCCCGGTGCAAGGGAGAATTTCCCGCCAATTTGAAGCTTTCTTTGCAGGGTGCATTTCTTTGTTGCAGCACAGAAATGCTCGTTGCAAAGAGTTCCCGCCATTTGTATGCTAATTTGAGTCCCATTATTGGCCAGTTCTAAATTATTCACACGTAGCGGCTAGTGATTGGCTTGCTAGCCGTATAAGAGGCTTGAGTGGTTTCCGCCCAAGTTGGAGGACTCCACGAACAAGGGAGGAGGAGACTTCACGCTGTGTGAAGATCTCTAAGCGCTGCGGATCCTTACGGACCCAGTGCATTTCAAGTAGGCAACAGAGGTCTGATCAACCTCTAGCCTCTCCCCGTCGCCGACGACCACCTTCCAGGATCTGAGTGCCTCCTAGGGGATGCCTCACGTCTAGCCAATCCCCTTCCTGGAGCACACCTGCTAGCCAGGAGGTAGTGCCAACACCAGCCAGGGTCTGGTCTGATCCTGGCACTGTGCCTCCTCGGAAACACAGGCCTAGTAGTCCTTGAGGGGACTCAACCCAGTTCAAGAACTTGGGGTGCTTCCATCAGTCTGAAGTGCAAACAGTGGTCTCCCTCAGTTAGCCAAACCAAGGGGATCCCAAGGCATAATCTAGACCCACTCCCAATAAGTCTCCCATGCTAGGTACAAGGGAGAACTTTATTGATTACAAGGAGTAGGTTTGGAATAGGGTACAGGGTTAAACAGTATCAGAGAAATCCCATAGAGCAAACAGGGTGGCTGGGGTAGCCTTTGATCACACATCTGAGTTACTACAAGCTTTATATCTAGTTAGATCTCTAGTAGCTTACTCACAAGTATCATCCAGAGGCAGGTGGAGATTCCCTCTGGAGGCAGGCAGTTCATTGATCATGAGTTTCCAGAGAAAGCAAGTTTCAGATGGTCCAGCTCTTCTCTCTCTCTGAGTTTTCATCATGGCTAATGCCCCCACTCCTGGGCAGTCCTTAATTTATATAGCCTTTATGACCTCATTTACTTGGTCCAATGGAGGCCAGCACCTGTTGGCTTTCAGCCAACCAATTTAAAATGCATCACTAGTTGCTGGGCAGACCAGCAGTCTCTAGCCCACTAGGGAGCCCAAGCCCCTCACCCAGGTATGCGATGCCAGTCATGTAGGCAGAGGGAGCAAGTTTCCCCCCTCCCTCAGAAATGTGTCCAGCTCAGGTTATCTAAAGAAATAAGGTAAGGTGTGTATCCTCTGCAGGGCCCATACTAACCAAATTGTCACAAAGCAGAGTTTTGGGGGAGAAACAGAGGTGGCCTTCTGCCACAACTACATCCATCCCAGTTTATCTTAAACCAGTTTTAACTATTTTGAAACTGGTTTATATGCACTGAATTTCCATTGTGTTACAGATGTAAACCAGTTTCTGATCACTTATCCTGGTTTATGCGTAATTTCTGTCCCTAGCCTAAGAGTAGGCTGCTAATTTTGTACCATTTTCTTTTGAATTTTATTCTGAAATGATTTATGAATTTAACTGACAGCATAATTTGATTTATTATTATTTCAGATTATTATGAAATATCTAAAAGCAAGTAGGCCAAATTTTCATTTTCTCCTGTGTATAGTCAGAGATGGAATTTACCTAAGAAAAGGAAAATGTAGATTCTAATAATTGGATATTGGACTGCAGAATTAATTCTGACAAGCAATGATAAAAAAGTTCCTCCCTATAGACACTTTTAAAAAGCTGGACAACGCACTTGAGAGAATTATAGGGCTCAAAGATTTCTGATTTCATGAAAGACTGTAGTGCTTGAAGTAGTCTTCAGTTCTAGAATTTCCATAACTACTTAATCAGCATACCCCTCATATTAAAGTGCCTGTATTGCAAACCAACTAAAAAAAACTAATTACATTTCATTTCTAAGAGAAAAAAATGTTCTATGCCCACTGGCAGTTTGTCCAGTTGTTTACTAGAGAAGAATGCTATTGGTATGTGTAACTTTTCAGAGTTGCATGATCTGCAAAGCTAGCCAATTTTCTTCTCTAGAGATGGGCACCCTGATCCATGTATTGTCATCTGGTTAGCTTTCTAAAGACTATGGAATCTATTTGCTGAGCTACAGAATTAGGTACTGTCTGTTCAAAGTGGAGATCTGGCCAATAGGCTTTCAAAAGCCTGGCCATGTCCATTTTCTCTCTGTTAAACTGCTAGCTGTCTTTTTACTTAGTTCAAATCACATTTGTCAGAAGCTTTCAGGTGTCTCCTGAGACCTTTGGATAAACAAGGTTATACTCAAAAAAGAGGAAAAAAATGAGGCACAGTTTAAAGCCTGTACTGGTGCTGAGAAACTTAATACACCAAATTGAAACTTCCACTGCTCTAAATCATGTGGACTAGAGGATGTAAAGCATAATATTAGTTTAACAGGCTCAACTTAATATTAGTAATCCATATGACAAAACCCATCACATGCAGTTTAGAATGGATAGCTCTTCTGGGACACACAACATGTTCCCTCTTCTTCAGAGAGAGGGAGAGAGAGAGAGAGAGAAAGTCCTTTCAAGTTCAAGGTTAATGTAATCCAATAAGGCACATAGTTAGAAAGCTAACCCCTTGGCAAAACTAACCATGCTTTTCTGGTTAAAAAAAAGGGAGAAGAATTTAATTATTTAAATGTAACTTTATAAAATGTTTACGTGAAAGATAATAATTAAAATTTGTTGGCATTTTCAGTCACCATAATATTTGAAGTTGATATGAGAACGCTGTATAGAAAATGACTAGATAACTATACTTTTATTTAAAAAACCTAAGTAAAATCACTAATAAAATCTAATAGAGGATCATTGCTATCTATTATTGTGTGTTTTAGTGTATTATTTCTATGAAAGAGGAGCCTAGAGATTATAACTGTGGCCAGGTACAGACATTATGGGCACCTATGCACATGCCCAATGCCTGCTTGAATGCATGCTCATTAAAATGTGTTAGAGCAAACTTGATTAATTGAGTCTGCTGGAGCATAGTAATTAGCATGCTCCAGCAACCTCGGTGTCACATGTATTCAGCATCCTCATGCTTCAAAATACTGACACCCCTGCTTTAGTTAAAGCACTCCCGCTGCCATTTTGAAGTGCAGGATGCTGAATACACAAGACACTGCAGGTGCTTTAGAGTGACTCCCAAGAATCGCTCTAATTAAAGTGCCTCCCCTCCGCACACCCTGGAGCATGTGTAAAGATGTCCTACTCTTTTACTGGTATAAGTGTTTGGAAACTGGTCTATACCCATAACAGAACAGAAGTTTGGCACATATAGACTGATTTTAAAATGGTGGAACCCAGTCTAAGATTTCCCTCCTCCACCCACCCCCCACCCCCACTAAAGGATGAATGTATGCTCTGTTTGCTACCACTCTAAACTTACCAAGTAACTTAGATCAATTGCACCTTGGACTTCTTGAATGTCTGTACCTAGTCTGTGATGCATAGGGTCCCATTATACTGCAATATATAAATGCATTAAAAAGACAATACCTTTGCTCAAGAGCTTACCACCAAGATTTTTTTTTTTTGTGACATGTAGGTCAGGATGAGATTGGGTTATCATTATATGAGGAATTGTACACCACACAGAGGTTGCCCTTTCCCTGAAGCACCTCGCAGCACCTTTGTCTCCACTCTATATGTGAAGGCCAGTTTTTTACAGTTGCTTAGGGTGCTTGATAGTTACTTATTTACATTCAAATGCCTAGTTGCCATTAAAAACCTGGCCTTCACACATAGATTGAAGACAAAGGAGGTAGGATGAGAAATAGGTGTTATGCATCTTGCTTAGTTATCAGCATATCATGCAAAACCAAGGACATGACATTTGGTCTCTAGAATCCCAGTCTAGTGCCCTGCCCTTTATGATCCCAATGCTTCTCATCAGAGGCATAACTAAAAATTCTAGCACCCTGGGAGTCGGGGGGGGTGAGGCATGCCAAGAACTAGTCTTACCTCCCCATACTTGGGCCACTGCCATTGCTGCCACAGCAGAGACTGCTGCTGGGGCATGGGCTTGGCAGACACAGGTCACTCTTGCTGCAGTGTTGGCTCTCCAGTGGCCTCATTTCTGTCACCTCCTCCAAACTGGTGTATGCGTCTGGTTCCCTGGCCGCCCACCCCTAGTTATTCCCTGTCATTCACCATGTCCTGGACTGAAGTACAGCAAAACCTTATCTTCAGAAAGTAAATTGTAAAAGCTATAAAATATCTGCATGTTCTTTGTTGCAGGTTCCCTCACTGGCGGCATTTACCCTTTACAGATCAAGGACATAAAAGAATGAAAGACCTGAATCTCTATCTTAAGCAGTTATTGAGTGGACCCAGCAAAGTGGCTAATGTATGTGAGCTCTTTATTTGTTTCTATCTGGCAATAATAGCTTACATTGCTTTTATCAGCTGCCTGCCCAAAAGACCCAAAGCTATAACAACCTACATAAAGTAACATCTCCAGCCAGAGCATTTAAAAGGGCCAGCCACATAAGGATAACACAGAGTAAAGAATACATTTATTAGAGTTTTTTCAACATAATTGTTTCTTTATCAAAGCACTGATTCATCAAAATGGAGATTTTTTTCTTAGGAAAAGGTGAGTTGCAGTAAATTTGCTATCAAAAACATTTGGCAGGAGGGGGAACAATTATATTGCTGAAACATCCCACTTTTGCCATTTTTTAAATAAAATGTTTAACTTTTTATAGTAAAGAAGATCAAAAGTTAATACGTAGTTTAAAGATTTTTACAAAATTAACGTGATATCAAAATGAAATGGAACATTTAGTTCACCTAAGTTGATTTTTTTTTCAATTTTCAATTCAGCAATATTTTTTAGAATTTTAACTTTTTCTTCTGATTCACCAAAATGAGAAAAATATTTAGAATCTCAAAATTTTCAAGGGATGGGAAAACAGTTTCTAACCCACCTTCATGATTTCAGCCAATTATAACCACACAGGCTGCATACAGACATTCAAAGATTAGGGGGAGGTTCGATTACATTAAAAATGGCCACCTGATCTCACTAAATTCACCATGTGTGGACCATACAGTAGTTAAGTAGATCTTCCTGAGAACTGTACAGAAGTTCAGGACAGTTAGATGGGTCTAAAAATGGCTAACCTAATCTAAATTAATTGTACCTCTGAGGCAGTATAACTTAGTTCAGGTTCAGCGAGACCGATATAACTGAACTTCGGTACAGCACAGTCCCAGGACTGGGAAAGCCCAGCTGCTAGCCCCAGAGCCAGGGATGCATTTGTCCTATGCTGTCTCTGACACTGGGCTATTTTTAGACACCCCCCCCAGTCCCACCCCAAGACAGATATTCCCCCTTGGAATAGCACCCCCCCACACACACTGCCAACCCACGAAACTCCCCATCTCACAAGTCACTCCTGGTGCCAGTTTTGTCAATGTTCACCAATGCTGGGGTCAAAGGAGGGCCAGGAGGGATGGGGGCAGGAGGGATTTTTTTGGGAGGGTTGTTTGTCTAGGGGGGTGGGGGTTGGAAGTTAAAAATAGCCCCTGGTCCCAGGGGGTGGAAAAAAGAGCTCCATCCCCCCCAACCTCCCCATGGACCCTACAAGCCCCCCTGATCCCACGGAATCTTCCTGGACCTCAGCAACCCCTCTTCAGGCCTTACCTGCCCCCCCCCAATTCCCCCATGGACCCCCGAAACCCCTGCTTACCCCCTAATTCCCCAGTCCCCCCCCACAAGCACCCATCATCCTGACTTACCTTAAATTGGGTGGCTATTTTTAATGCATTCTGACCTCCCCCTAACCTCACAATCTGCCTCTAAACAGCCACAGTGGAGATAAGAGGAAAAGAGCTAGTAATCCAGATAAAATAAAAAATTAGTGCTGCCTTTTATTCTCCCATTAATAATAATGATCCTAGGTTAAAGCCCAGCAGCAGATGGGAAATTATTGTAGAATTCAAAAGATGCTAACATCCATGTGATAAAGAAATACTTTGGCTTAGAGAGAGGACCTCAGTGTTTGGTCTGTCTACTGGTCCTGCCAATGAAAATGCAAAGTTTGGGGGGTCATTCTTTTATTGATATATGCACCCTTCCTGGTGCGTGATCTGTTTGTGCACTGACTGCTTCTGTTTCCTAGTGAGCTGGGCAAAGTCAGGCCATTGATCTAGGAGTTGAAGCTTCTTTATCCTTTCTCTAGCATCCATATGGGTGCTTATGCACATGCTCCAATGTGTTCTAATTAGTGGCCTGTAGCATTGCTGCAGCATCATATGTATAAGCCCCCATGGGTTTAAATGGCTGCTGGGGCACTTTAAAGCTCATCAAATGAGCTTTAGTTAAAGCATTCTGCTGCCCTTTTTAAATGTGTGGGGGGCTTAATACATGTGACATTGCATCATTTTAATTAGAGCGGCTCTCTGGTAACTGCTTTAATTAAAATGCCCCCTACACCTGAGCACATGTATAGGCACCCCATGTATACAAGCTTCCAATTTGGCACTGCAGTATACAAGCTGGGTTTAGGCTTGAGAAATAAATTAGTTAAAGCCTCTACCTATGATACTTATGTTCTTGCCCAACACTCTAGGAACAAAGCTAGTTCAATAATTCATCTTAATCCTCCTATTATTATCCCACAGTGCAACTGTAGCTTTGTAAACTCACAGAACATGCTGCTGCTGGGAGGTAAGTGAGAATTTGTGGGTGGTACCTCAAAGGATACTGCAAAAGAAACTATTTAGGACAGTGCTAGTGTAAATGCAGAGCATATCTTAAACGAATTTGGTATGGTTTATGTAGTTGTTGTTCCATTACAAACTGTTCAATTGATAGAAACAATTCAGTTCTAGGATAGATAAAATATGTAAAGCCAAGGAGGAGAAGCTATGCAAAACTTCCAAAATAACTGCAAAACCAATTTTTACTGTAGAGTACGTAATGTAACAAATGGAGTGCAAGACTCACTGAACAAGGTCAATGACAGGCATAATGGGTAGATTGTCTCCATCTGTAAAATGTTGTGTCCTGCATATCCTCTTCTGTTATATCTAACCAATAATTCTTGAGATGATTTTTGTGGTCATTGGCACTCCAGGATCACTAAATTATGCTGTTTTATTTTAATGTGGCTCTCCTGCAAGGAAATGTGAGAACTTCTGATGATATATTTTGACCCATTAGAATCAAGGAAACCAGTTTAGTAATGTTCCTGTTACTAGCTGAGGAAGCCTCATTGTTTTAAAATATCAATCCTCCTTCCTTTTTTTCTTGATGGCCACTTGGTTAAGTGCTAAGCAGAAAACATTCATTATAGGCTTTCTTGATTAAAAATAATAATAATAATTACTTACCCTTATCTCTGCTCCTTTTCTCATCTCAGATAGCCTTACAGTCAAATCTGCCCTTTTTCCTCAGACAACTTAAAAAGCCTAATTGAAGGCACATCTAGTGATTATTCTCTATTTAGGAGGTATACACTTGTGACTATGTCATGTCATGGTAAAACTATGTAGTGATAAATTAGGGAATTTGTGGACAATAAGTGTAGTGTAAGTTCATGTACATGCTAATCTTGTACAATGCATCTAGAATAGAAAATGTCTCTTGACACAATCATTTTTGTCCTGCTGCTGAATTGTATTTTTGCTGAATTGATGTCTGGGGTGTAGGCAAAAGCTGTAGAGAACCAAGCAGAAACAGTTTTATTATAAACACCTCTCTCTACCATCTGTAAACTGATTATTCTGACTGGCTAAATACAAAGGCAGCTCAAAAGTCTCCACTTCAATGGAAACAGCAGCAAACTTGGTTTTATTATTCTGCAACAAAAAATCTAAAGAGAACTGGCTAAATTCAAATTCCTACCTGCATCATACCTTCAATATATGCTTTTCAGTCCAGGCTGAATGCTTATTATTTAAGCAGTGTCATGATGACTAAGGATGTATCAAGCTATCACTGACCTTTTCTGGTAAATGACTTAACTGGAGAAGGTAATAGCTACTTTGTTGTTTTTGTTGCAGTTCTGATGGAGTCAGATGCCCCTTTAAATACTTTAAAAACCCTAAATTTTAAATGATCAATATATACCAATGGGCGTATATTATACAAATTGCTTTTATATAGGGATCCCATTGTAGAAAATTTTACCATAAGGCATAATACACCAGTGCTTCTACTCACACTGACTCTAGTTCAGGGGAAAAAACATTCTTAATCCCATCCCTGTTCAAAGAAGTGCTTAAGTACATAATTAACTTTAAGCATGCATTTAAATCCCACTGAGTTATCTTGGACATAAGCATATGTTTAAGAACTACTTGGAGCACAAGTGCTTTCTCTCAGTCCAGGTTCATGCTCGCTAGAAAAAAGAGTTGTACTTGACGCCACTGCATTCACCAAAATACAATAGGAGATAGATGCTATCCAAGTGAATTTACTTTTGTTATATGCCATGGGAAGCAAATACCTGCCAATTTACAGCACTGAAGACAGATAACTTCCAAAAACATGTATGTTGACCCCCAGAGGCATTCTGGGAACCAAAGAAAGTTTTGAAGAGCCAGTCCCACCAAAATTAAATACTGAGAAGCATCAAAGTAAATAAATTGTAATAGCAAATTTTATAATGATATATAGATAAGATATAAATGACCAGACAGTAAAGGTAAGGCATATGAGGCAAATCATTAAAGTTTGTAAAATATACATCCGTCTAAAGAAATTATAGTTTTATTAGTATTTAAAATATATATATTATTCTCTAATTCCTGAAGTCTTCAAAAGCCTCTAACAGGTGGCCAGTCTTCTTAGGGGAAAAGACTTCTTACCGAGATTTAAAATTAAATTTTAAAAAGAGCACTTATGTTGGTTCATCTGAAGATGGGCTATTCAAAAAAAACCATAGTTCAAGACTAAAGATCAAAGATTCTAAGGTGAACCTGACTTAATATCAAAAGCTTACCAAATAAAGTCATTTTTTAATGTTCCTCATAGGTTCTACTCTAATTAATATTCATATGCCTATTCTTACTGCCTATTTAAGCTACATCTTGTTCTAAACCAGATCTAACTGGTATAAAACTGCTAAATGCTCTCTATAAGTGACTTTTAGTTGACCTTTTCGAGCAATCTTTCCCACGCTTCCAAAACTATTCTCAACTGATATTCTCTCACTTGTTCATTTCCTTTGCTGCTTCTTCTCTTACTCAAACTTTGGTCAAACAAATGGAAGCAAATTCTTGAACATATTGTCACTAAGCACCTTAGGGCCTACTGCAGTCTACATACAGCCTTTGAGTAATTTAAATTAATGACAAATGTCAGCATTTATTTTTAACTTCCATTCTATTTTGGTG